TATATATTTAACACTGCTTACATAATTATATTGCAGCTACCTCAAACCGCAAAACTTTCGACTGTGCCAGAAAATCGAAACAAGTCAACCGCAGGCGAGCTATCACTTGACATATGCAAAATAGATGTTCGTCCGTCTGCCCCTGTTCCAGATAAAAATAGCCGATCTTTTTTTGTTCCTTCAAATGGACTATCGAGACGCAATGTCTAGTGAGTGAACATCTTTCAAGCATGGAGGTCTCAGTGCGGGCAATTTCCGCTCCTCTATAAATTAGGTATAAATTTTTTGGGAGGAGAAATCATAAGTAATTATTCTAATATTCGACCCTGACCCGTCGTCTATGGCATTAAACTCTCCATCGTCCATAGCATTTCAAAATATGGTTCTCAAAGCCATTAGATTTTTCATTTCCGTCTATGGCGCGATGTTCCTACACCTACATCAAGCCTTTCTTGTTATAAGAACGTTATCGGTACGGACGCATTACCCTAGCAATTTGTATTTGCTATACTGTACGACATACTTAATATTTGTACGGAAGAAGAAAAAGAAATGTTAAAATTAAACATAATATACTCGTAACACAATTTTAGATCATTAAAAGCATTTGTTTTGCATCAAATATGTACAAAGAAAACTTGGCACCATAGACTAGTGCGTAAACTGTTACATTATAAAAAAAAACACACGTTTTAAGGTTACCTATATCCGAAAGTTACATTATATTTGAAGATCTAGATCACTTTACAAAATTTAAAAGACTTTTTGTAACAGAAAAATGCTGGCACCGTTACATTCAATTCCTGCTTTCAAACGAACATTTATGAAATCTTTTTAATATTGAAATATTGTTTTCTTTTTCTTTTAGCATTTCTGGCATGTCAAAGAAATCAGTGATAAATGGAACAACTAAAAAGATCAAACTTTATGTAGATAGTGAGAGCTTCCGTTTAAGTGAAAATAACTGTTTTATAAAATATGAGAATGCGAAAATAAAATTATTACGCACCTGAAGATGAAAATACAAATATTAATTAAGAAATCACGATTCGGTAGCACCATTGTGCAATAAATGACAAGTTTGAATTAATTGTGCTGTTTACATTCGACAAAGTAATTCACAAAGTGTAAAATATTTTATTTACGAATTAAGATACGCAACCATTTCCTTTTCGTCGGTTCTTACTAATTTTCCGTTGCTCTCAATTTCTTGTCTTTAATTCTTTTTTTACAGTGTTGTCTGTTTAATTTAGAAAAAAATTTATATATTTCTTTCAAATGATTTTTTTTTATTTTTTGAGTTTTTCCTATTTTTAGTTTTCTTGTGCTGTTTTTCATCATTTTGTAATATAAGAAATACGGCGGTACATATTACCGCGCCCCGTGTTTTTTTCTTATCATTGTAACAATCACAAAATTTATATTGTCTGTTTAAATTATGTAAAAACTATTTTTAAATTTCTATGTCTGAGTTGAACTTTCAGGATATGTTCTTAAATACTTAGCTCTACTTAGCCCATCGCTCTAATATAATAGTATATAACCTATAAAACATTGATCAGACCGCTAGCCTCGAGGATATAATCTTGGCAAGAGACTAGAAACTTAAAAGGGAGTACAATAGGTCTTTTCAACGTAGCGTTAATAGCTCAATGATTAGCCTACAATCTGCACTTAATTAAACTGAAACAAACAAATTCGGGGATTTTCAAATTTATTACTTAGAATGCAGCTAATAAATTTCTCCATTAATTTATAATACACAAAAATCTCAAAATAAAGAGAAAAACTAAAAGCTTTAAAGTGCAAAATTTTTAAAAAGGAGAAGCACATTAATCTTGAAATTTGAACTTAAACTCTAAACTGAAGCGTGGGTAAAAAAAAAAACCATCCCACTATACCAAAACAGAAAAATAATGGCTTATAAATAAAACTTTGTTTCAAGTTGAAGATAATTTAAAAAAAAAATTAAAGAAAACATTTTCTTCCCATTACAATCGCCACTTTAAAAAATAATATTTAAAAAAAAAAATGTTAACTATGGAAAAGTTGTAAAGTTCGAAAAACAATAGTTTCATACCATTCATCTTTTCATATTCGGTGAATGCACATAGTTTCTATATTTTGTAAATGAATCCTTGAAAGTATACTTGTGTTCCTGTTAAATTTACGTTATATTTTTTGTATAATTTGCAAAAATATCTACATAGATTTAAATATAAAAAAATAGGTTCATCTTCTTGAACTTTAAATACTTGTTTACAATTAAAGAAGGGCTACGCAAATATCTTGAGAAAACTTTTTCCTTTATAGCACTACTTTAGTTTTTCTCTCTTGTAATGAAAAGAAAAAAAAATCGAATATGGTCAGTACATAATCGACAGCATTGTTTATTTTCTAAATTTCATTTCATCGAATTCATATATCATTCCTTCCGAAATGATAGAAAAAATTTAAGCTGTTGGATCTTGTATGTCACGACTTACAGATTCACTTCATATGCAAAAATAAAGTTTATGTATAAAATTTCAAGTAAACTGGTTGAAAAAGTGAAATCGGCTTATAGTAAAGTTCAAATTGTCTAGATCTGCAAAAGGCACTCAGATTTGCCTAGATTTTTTTAGAATCAATCTAGAATTTAGTTGCCTAGATTTTTTTTTAAATTTAGTGCCATCACAATGTCTCTCTTATACAAAATACAGTCGATAAAAAATCAGTTTTTTCGTTACGTTCATTTTGCGTTATGTTCTGTTTTTTTGTTTCTTAAATAGCAAAAATAACAACTGCAAAAAACTTTTACTACATTATAAAATAAACAAACAAAAAAAAAACTGCAACCTTGTTACACACTTGAAATAAGATAAAATGGAATTTTTTTTATTCAACTGAGTCCTTAACTCGTTCGTTTTATAATGTGATATATACACTATCTTCTTTCTCTGTATATATAACTATATAAAGGCCACATACACCACACACACACACATTTAAAAAATAAAAATAAATAAACCCTTGACTTACATTTATGCTTTGTTTTTTTTTGCACATGCATTTTAAATTTGTTTATTATTGCATGCATGAGATACACATTAAAATATTTTATAGAAGAGTAAATGAGACGAATGCAAAAAAAAACTGTAAGAATTTATTTAGTAGTTTTCTAAAAAACGATGATGTAGTAAACATAATAAAATTTGATGTGGTCAGCATATAACCGACCGCAATGTATATTGTACAGCTAAGAGAAAGTGTTACAGAAGATAACAAAAATGCGTTTTAAACACTTTCCAATTTTTAGGACGTTAGAAAGCTTTTCGTTAACATTACTCGATAAATTTTTTCCTTAGTAGATTTTCGCTTCGGGTAATCCGAATTCTGTGAAAATCCAGTTAATTCCGGCAATGACCAGATCTCAAATATCAAATTTCAAGAAATTCCGTCCGTCCGTTCTGTAGATAATGGCGAAAATTGTAAATTCGGCCCCTGGTTCGGTTTGCAAGCTCTGATCTTTCCAAAAATATTACTAGTCCATTGTTTTAACACCCCTAATTAAAATATTAAATTTTAACAGAATTTGTTGACTATTTGTGTTTATATGTGCAAAAATGTAAAATCTATACACGCAAAAAAGTTCAGTTCCCTGAATCCCAGCACTGATGTATCCCAGAAGTTAACCGATTCGTATAACATAGCCAAAATAAATTCACATTCAAAATTTCATTCATATTGGTTCAGCCAAACTCAAACTCATTTTGGTCACAAATATTGTGGCAAAAACTTTTGGAACAGGATCTCTATATAGCGGCCCAAAAAAATGCTATTCAACAATTGGTTCTTTAAATTAAATTGACAAGAAACAAGCCACACATTAAACAATTCAAGAACAGGAATACGCAAACCAATAAACAAAGCTGAACTACTAAAAGATTTTTAATGTTTAAGACGAAACCACAAATTTACTATACCCTCTTAATTATCTTATATAGCTGTTAAAAATATAAAATGAGATATAGATAATGTTATACGGAAAAAGGACATAAATTTCATTTATAAAAAAGAAAAAAAATTTTTTAATAAAAGAAAATAATTTTCTATTAAATTTAAATGAAAGCAAAGTAAAATGTTAATGTAATACAATTATGGACATTAAAATAATTTTAAAATTATAATAATTATAAACTTAAATATATTTAATCTCAGGTTTAATTTTATGTAATATTAATTAACAATACATAATTACATTACTAATAACTACCATTTAACAAAATGTTTTATTTTTATAAATGAAAAGATTAATAATGGAAATCAATACAAGGGGAAATTAAAATAAATAAAAGGTAAAATGGCTGTGGTATTTCGATTTAATTACAAGTACACTGTAAAAAATTGCGACGTAATATGCCATTTTCGCAATTAATTTAACCTACAAAATAGTACCAATACCTTAAAATTTATCTGCCGCTCTCAGCGCTCTACTCTAATAATAAAATTTAAAATGGTAGCTCTCAGAGAGAATGGGAGAGAACTCCCATTTATGTTTTATTATTAGAGTTTTCAAGTACTATTTTTGTTAACAACATTCATGAAGAGTATTTTTTTTGATTTTATAAATTTTCGTAACATTTTTACATAAAATTTTTTTACAGTGTGCCTACATCATTGAACTTTAAATAAAGTTGAATTACTTAATTAAGAAATTAATATTCAGTAAAACAAAGAAGATTAAAGTGTTTTTAAGTTAAGTGTAAAGGGAAAATTCAGATATTTATGACTCAAAGCCATTTTATATAACGTTCCATAATATTGCGCTCAACGAAAAGAATCCTAATTAATTAGACTCAATAATAATCGTAAACATTAGCCGTCTGTCCATTTACAATTTAAAAATAAAGAACGAAAATTATTTCCGTTGCGCAAGACCAATTATGTTGATCCGACAAAATAACGTTCATTGCCTTGAAAATTTTTGCCTTATGTATTAGAAATTCTATATTACTTACCTGGATCAATATATTTTAAATTCCTTGCTAAATGTGTTAATTGTAATGGTATATATCTTGTATCAGCTCTTGGTGGGCTACGTGGTGCTGGTGGTGATGTTGGTCCACCTAATGGACATAAAAATGCCCTTTGTAATTCCCAACCAACTTCTGATATAATACTAGCTTTACGAAAATATGGGGTCACTTCTCGGAGGAATTTCACTGTAATTAAATAGAAAAAATAAAAAATAATATAAATAAGAAAGATTTTATTATTTAATTAAGTTTATTAAATTTAAACAAGGTAATTTCAGGTGGGATTGTTAATTACTTTATAATTTAACTAGAAGCGTATCAAGCGGTTTGTTAAAACAATTTATTATTTAAAGAAATTAACAGATTGTGGTGAGATCCTATACTTTATATTCCAGAAACACAAATATGCTGATCATTATACAGTTATCCATAAACAGTTATTTAATATCTATTTGAGTGTCTTTGCATTGTATCAAACGGACGCCCGTTAAATGGACGGAGACAAATCAATTATAATTGAATTGAACCGCTCTTTTAAAAACTCAAATATTTTGGGTTGACATTATACATTTGGACATGAACTGAAAATATAGATTTACTTGATAGTAGTATAGACGCGGTAATAGGGCCAATTTAATTCTTGACCAATTTAGTCCCATAAAACAAATTAACCAACAAATAAGGAAAAGAAAATGCTATATAACAAAATATAATGTTAGTAATTTTTGGCTAAAATTCAATTCTAAATATATAATCCCTACAAATTCATATGTTTGATCAATCAACTTCTATGTACCTTATGACACCTGAACACAATCAAATTATTTAAATGCATTCAAACCAAATTAAAATATTGCCATATTATCCAATTCTTTTCAATTCTTCTTATTATTTTATCTGTACATATAACAATAAAGATTCATTTTCAGGGTATACAAAATAATTGAGAAAAATTCAAATTTTTCAAAAATAAAGAATTGACGTTTTCTATATAACAATATCCTATATTTTTTTATTAGATATACAAAGAACCTAAACACATCAGATGCCTAAAAATCAAAAATTCATAAAATGAGAAAAAGAAATTTAAATTTTTATTATTTCAATTTTTATTGTTATGATGTACTAAAAATGGAAACCTTTCCATTTTTATTTTGCATTCATAAAAATATCATTTTAGTTGTGAATGTGTTTATTATTGTGTACATGCCATACATATAAAACAGAAGTCTCCCCCCTCCCCCCTCCCCCTTCCTCGCTTATAAGCATCATGTGAGAAAATAAATTCATTTTAAACAAAAGAAAAAATTCAAGTCCAAGGTTTCTCTATAAACAATTTTTTAAAAAAAAAAATATTTGAATTTTTTTTAAACATGAGGTGAATTTGAAAATTTAATAATAAAAGAAGAAAAATAAACATTGGAAAAATAAAATCAATCCATTTTTCCTATAAAAGAAATAAGGTTTATTTTTTAAGTTTATAAAAAAATTTTAAACAAGAATTTCTAATGAATTTCTGGAATTTCTAATAAATTCTATTCTGCAGCAAAATGATATTATTTTAAACTACAAAGTGAAGAATGTGAATTACATTTCCCCTGGTCTGTCAAAGAAAAATATTGTGTCTGTTCAATAACCTGCTATTCTCTCTATAAATTTAGTATTTATTTCGTTTTGATTATTCAATTCTAGAACCTACATACTCGTATTAGAAGTTCAAATATTAGAAATAAAATTAAATTGAAATTCCAGACAAAACAATCAGACAAATTATTTAAATTTTCTTATTCTTCATGGTTTACAATTTTCTTTAATCAGTCATAAATAGAATATATGAGCCGGTTGTCACAAGCGTTAAATTCCATGGAAACTGTATTGGAATAGTGTAGTCAGCAAGTACCAGTAATACGTAGCATAAAAAAAATAAAAATGAGCAAAATTTTAAAAATTTTGGAAAAAATTGCTTACAAAAGCTTCTTGTTCCGTGTGTCCGGCTCTTAACAATTATTCTTCAAATTTTTCAAAATAGAAAGCTTAAATTCTCAGGAGAAAGATATCTTAAAGAAGAAATTCATTTATTAAGAATAAAGTCAGGAAAATGAAAAGTTTTTGAACGACCAATTTCTTCAATCTTGCAAAATCGGAGACAATGATCAAGAAGTTGAAATTATCCTTTAAATTTAAGTTGAAATAAAATCATGTTTCCTGCCTTTAACTTCGAATTTTACAAAATGTCGGAATCTGCTTGAGCAATATTAACATTAATAATTTAATTAATGGAACTGTTTTTATAAAAAATTTTCCTTATTGTGCCTCCTAAATATATGCAATTTTATTATTTAGAAAAAATCATAAGGCAATACTCAATGGAATATCATTTTCAGTGTTTAAAGTAAGAGAAACTAAAAATAATTAAAAACTCTAGACTAAATTTGTCAAAGAAAAATATGCTATTTTGTAAATTAGTTTGATTAATTTCACTTTTAATTAAAAAACCACAAATTACCCTTTATTCTGCATTTAATTTCATATTATTTATAGGTCAATAATTCTATAATAAAAACTAGTATTTTTTTTTAATAAAATTTCGATTATTATGTTGACTTTTATTAAATTTCTTGTTATAAAAATTTATTAATATTTTTTACACAAAATTTTATTAAAAGATAAAATTTTATTGCTTTTCTCTTCATTATATCGACCAAGACTTGTATGTATTCACATAATATACTTGTAGATATTCATATATACCATATATGTATATATGTAAAATGTTAACATCTCACATAATATATAAGTGAATTAATTGAACACCAATATTAAAAATTTATAATTTTATACAAAAATTCTAATAATTTTGCAAAAAAAAAACGAAAACAAAAATGTTTTTGAAAATAGGATAAGTTTCCTTGATAATAAATTTTCGAAATATAAAGAAAAAAAATTTAATTATACGCATTTTAAACTATATTTTCCGAACTTTGTCTTTCATAAGTAATTTTATTATAGAAAATTACGATATATTTACGATATATACACAAACGCTTGCTGAAATTTGTTTTTTGCTTTAATTTTTTACTTAATTTTCTCCCTATAACCTTAAGTATCTTAAATTTTTTTTCCATTCTAAATAAATATTCAAAATATGAACTTTAGTCTTAAAATGTACATAATAATAACTAAGCAATACTACTTCCATATGTTATATATCACACTACAGTATATAATATACATAAAAACATTTTTTAACTGGTATATACCAGTATATATACTTTGAGGATCTCTCTCTCTCTTTTGTTATATACTAAAATTCATAATATTAATTTTTAGCACAAGATTTTTTTTTACATTTTTTATTTACAAAAAAAAAAAACACGTAGTATAATAACATGACAAAATATAAGGTCCCAGCAGGACATCATATAATGAAAACATGATGATTGTGTATAAAATTATCCTTTATTACAAAAGAAAAAAACAAAATTTTTTTTTATATAATATTAAACACATATGGAATTATAAATTTCATTTCTTATAACATTTTTGTACGATTCGATATTATATACACACATATACACATATGCAAACTCATAATACCCGTATAGTATTTACAATATTATGTTTAATATGGCAATGAACAGAGGCATATTACATTCCATTTACATACATTATATGTACATGTATATATTTATAGATTTATTAAGGATTCCTAATATCCTGATGATATTTTATCCATATTAAATTCATATTCTTACAGAAAAAAAGAAATTTTTTTTTTCCTTTCTTTTTACTATTGCTCATTTATTTGCGGTATATATATCAGCTATAACATTGGGTAACTATCTTCGATTAACAATAGAGATCGTATAACACAAAAACCGAAAAAAAAACAAAAAGCTCAAATTATACACATAATATATATATTAATGTTTAAGTTGTAAGGATACAAGGAAGTATAAGAGAAATTATGCCATATAATATTTTTCGAAAGATATAAGACAAATATCTTTTAAAACAAAAGAAATTAAATATATAAGGATATCGATAAAATTGCCTTCGTTAACTTTAGGATACATTTAGAATTATAAAATAACTATATTTGAGACAATTTTAAAGAAGAGTGTGATAAAAGAATACAGTTCGAGGTATCTGCATTTCATTTGCAAGTAGATAACACTGTATTACATACCTGCTGTGGAATAATTGGGAATAGTTTAATTTAGTTTAGAGAGGGAAGGCGGCAGGCCCAACACTGCCGCCCAGTGCTAAGCCAGCGAACCGGCCCCTTCTTCGCATCAAAGCGAGGCACTCGTACAGCACATGAGGCATTCCCGGCAAGTATCTGATGGGGAAATACCCATTCTCCTAACCATCTTTCCCAATAAACAGTGTTCTGTCAAGATGCCTACCGCAGTCGTGAGATCCCCCTGCTCAATGCTACCAGCTCCCTCGATCTTGCACCGCTTCCTGTCATTCATAGGAACCTTGTTGTTGCACAAGTTCGCCCGGCGCAACAAAGCAAGCTTACCCTTCTTCTAGTTTCCTCATCTGTAATGTTCTTCTACACCCCCAAGAGCGGAAGCACCGACCTCAGCAGCAGTACTATATACCTACTATGGAATAATAGGGAGTAGTTAGTGAAAAGACCGGCTTCCATTAAAAACTTCGAGTTTATTTTCCTTCCCATATAACCTCTCAATTACTTCTTTGTATAGGCTAATGTAGTTATGTAAGTGATATGTCCGATTTTTTACTCAAAATTGTATGGCAATTTGTAAATAAAGACAATATTTAAGTTTAATTATCTATTAACAAAACTATTTAAATGAATATTTTGACAACTTGCAGGCGAACTAACTAATGATTTTTGAAAAAGAAGGAAACAAGCAGATGCACAGCATTGTATGCCTTATTTACATGTCTAGCGTTATAAACGTAATAAATATTTTCCAATATATAAAAAAGAAAATATTCAGTAAAGAATCAAAATTCTTTTATTCTTCTTTCTTAAAAAGTTGCCGTTTTGCATAACATATGTATGTATGTATATGTGTATACAATATTCATAGACCAGAATTTTCAATTCATAGAATTTCCGAAGAACACTGGAACTATATAGCACATAATTTTGATTTGTACTGTTAAATTTCTTAAATAAGAATTGTTTAGTAAAAATTGTTTACAGC